CCTTACAGAGACAATTAAGTTAAAATTAAGTCCTTAGAATTGACCTTAAAGCAATATGACTAATGTCCACATAAAAAGGAAATAAGGCCCAGCTGGCATTGCTCAGTAGTTGAACATCAAGCCATGAACCAAGAATTTACCAGTTTGATTCCAGGTGAGGGGCACATGCATGGGTTGTGGGCTCAATTCCCAATAGGGGGTATGTAGGAGGAAGCCAATCGAGAATTCTAACTCTCTCTACCTTTCTCTCTAAAAACCAATTTTAAAAATCATATTTAAAAAGAGGAAATAAGGACACAGATGGGTATAGAGAGAAAACCATGTGAAGACATAGGAGAAGACAACCATTTACAAGCCAAGGTGAGAAGCTTCGGAAGGAATAAAACCTATTTGCACCTTAATCTTGGACTTCTAGTCTCTAGAATTGTAAAAGAGTTAATTTCTGTTGTTTAAGTCACCAAGTCTGTGGTACTTTGTTATGGCAGGCCTAGCAAATTCACACACATAGTAAACAAGATATAGAGGATATATTATAAAAATCAATGTTATATTCTCTGGGTAGCTACTTAAAATAGTCAAAAGGCCATTCATTCAACCCCTCTCTTCTCCTACTGATAAACCTCCCTAAAGTGACATTTTAATCACAAATCAGTACCTCCAGCAGCAGCTACTTTTTCTTATTCTGAGAATTTTAAGGGCTCAAGGCACCAAGTATTTCCCAAAATTTTAGTATTTCATTCCAACCTATCATGTGAAAGGCAGTAGATCTTAGTAGCTGAGGCCACAATCAATGAGGAGATCAAAGTTACTGAGCCTTGACCTGTGGTGAGCAGGAGTCCGACTATCTTAAGACCAGAAAGTATTAAAAGAAGAGAAGAAAATAAGGGGAATGAAAGGAGAGAGATGCAAAAGAAAAGGCCCTTGTGTCTAATCTGAAATGAACCGCTGATGCTCTTACTATTGTGGGACATTACATCACACATAGGTTCAATGACAATGCATTTTTAGAAATAAGCTTGAGATACTTATCCCATATTTGGTAGAAATCAGCTCTTCAGGTACACTCGCCCTTTGGTCCCCATCTTTTCTTATTATTATTATCACTTTGATAAACTACTTTAATCAGCTGGCCCACTGTTCTCTCCATAGTAGAAGCCACGCCTACAACAGGAAAGCCGCTGCACCAAAACAGGCACCAGGGCAGTAGCAACCGTAAGGAGGGGAACTTGCTAACTTAGATGGGATGCTGGTTCTGCCACTTACTGATGATGGCATGTTGGCCAAAATAAATTCTTAGTCTCAGTTTTTTCACCTTTGAAAAGAGTGAAAACATCAACCCATTGTTCTGCTATAAGAATCAAAAGAAAAAGCATAGGTGAGCATACAGCACATAGAGAATGCTCAATAAATATTAGTATTCTTACTACTTTCATGACTATTACTGCTAATACTCAACAAATCTCTTTTCTCCTTTCTCATAACATGCCTCCTCTTGTCCAACTGTCTCTGTCTCCTTGACAAGTTGTCTTTATGCACTTTTCCCACTCTTGGGTTTCCTAAAAGGATCCCCTGATTCACATTGCCAAAAGTCTACTGAAACAGCTGCCTCAAAGGCTGCCTGTGACCTGCTAACTGATATATCAGGCAGAAGTTTTCTCCCACAGTCCTCTCCGATCTCTGTAGCACCCACAATGCCCTCCAGGATTAGAACCCATTTGAAATTTATTCCAAGGCCACTCCTTTTTTCTTCTATACTACTCTTGATTTCATTCTCGTGATCTAGCAATACTAACTTTTTGGTTTTAAAATGATATCACTAATGCTAATTGGATTAAATAAAATCATCCTACCATGTTCTAATAAAAGGAAAGATTTACATAAAACAAAAATTATCACTGTGGTGTTGATGCTGTGTTGTCTCTCCAAAGGGGAGAATCCCTTTTACAGGAGAAGCAAATCTGAGCCATGGGAGCAATGTGATGGGAAACAGCCAACAACTTTCAAACATGTGGATGAGTTTTCATCTGGGAATTTCGATCCTTTATGACATTCTCCAGACTTCACAATGGTTTTGGCTTATAATTTACAGGAGATCTAACAAGCAATGTAGATCTTGGGATGAAATGCCATGGCATTGAGTGTGACCCCATGAGACTAAGTCCTGGCCCATTTATTTTAAGAGAAGAATGCAGAGAGCCTCTGTGAGTGCTGAGCAGCTGATGACACATGACAGAATGCAGAGATGGGACCCCTGTGGAAGAACTTGGGGCTTAGTGAGCCTGGAGTGTTTATCTGTCCCTGTCTCTAAGGAAGCCAGATACCTCAAGGATAAGGGTGAGAGTGATGAGTGATAGGCAGTCTTTGCATGATGCACCACAGGAGTATTCTGGCATCACAGAAGCAACCCCATAAGTAGAGAGGGATAAGAGAGAAAGCAAAGACTCCTGTGTCATTCCCTTTAAACTTTTACAAAGAGAGGCCAAAACATGTTGTCAAAAATATCCCAACTCTGCGAGATCCCCATACTCTCTCCTCCCCTGAGTAGTTTCCCACCTAAACATGATACCTTCAGTCAGTTAGAGGCTACATTTGTCTGAAAAGCACAGAGATCACAGCTATATTTTCTTATCTTGATGGCCAAGTTTCAGAACACTTTGAAATGTTGCCCCAGTCACGCAGTGAGAGAAGCTACAGCACAGACAGAATGTGAGATTTCCTTAGGGGGGTGTTCTTCCCCCCAGCCCTTCAAAGGTCTCTGTTTGAGCTCACCTGATAGCACAAACGCTATTAAATCACTTGAATGAAAGGGTCAGGTTGCAAGCCGTGCAGGTATGGAGGCCAGCAAGCCCTGCTCAGACCACCCAGCTCTCCAGAGGGGTAGCAACGCCAGATGCAGACAAGATAAAAGGCCGCTGTCCTATGTAACCTGGCCCAGAGAAACAACCTTTTTAGAGAGGTGCAGGTCCCATTGGGCCAAAGGGCAGTGTGCTCCGTAAAGGTGGCATTTGTCTAACTCACTGGACCGGGGTCTTGGCTCTTTGTGAGAGAAAAAAACAATTTAAAGATCTTCTTTAATTTTTTTTTTGGGGGGGGGGGAACAGTAAGTCTATTCTTTGGGTTTCAAAACAATTGCTAAAAAGTTCCTATTCTACTATATAGCAACTATATTTTAGGAAAAAATTAAAAAGAAAAAGTTCCCATGCACCAATAACTGAGTTTAGAAGACTGAGCCATATCCATCAGTGTCAGAATATCATAGCTGGAAAGACACCAAAACTCATTTAATTCAACCCTTTCGTTTTATTGATGGTAGAAGTGTCACTTAGAGAGATTAGGTGGCTCTCCCAAGACTGGTTAGCAGCAGCTAAGATTTGAAACATCACGAGCACAGCAGAAACTGGTTTGGCCCAGTGGATAGAGCGTCGGCCTGTGGACTGAAAGGTCCCAGGTTTGATTCCAGTCAAGGGCATGTACCTTAGTTGCAGGTACATCACCAGGAGGGGGTATGCAAGAGGCAGCTGATTGATGTTTCTCTCTCATTGATGTTTCTAACTCTCTATCCCTCTCACTTCCTCTCTGTAAAAAAAACAAACCCATCATGAGCACAAAAACCCTGCCCATGCTGTTGACATTGGAGTCCTTGGAAACTAGCACTGAGCCTTTCATGTGCAGGCAGATGAGGAGAGAGAAAAAGGAAAGAAGTACCAATGACCACATCCCATTTTCATTTTATTCTAAATATCCAAAGCCATAAACACGCAGTGCCATCGAATGCCATCAGAGATAGGGGTGGGGGCTGAATTTTTACTGTGGACCAAAAGGGGCTCAATGCCCACCTGACTAGATTGGAGAAGGCCTGCGTGGCAGCCCTGCAAACTCAGAGACCTAAAATAACCACAAAGGAGGATCTGCAATGAAAACTTTCTAGAATAAAAAGCAGTTTATGGTCGGTAGTCATGTTCTAAACCTGGATCTTCCCTGACAAAGGTCAGTCTTTACCTTAACTGAGCCTATTGTCTTTTTGCATCTAAGATCACTGGAATGTCAAAGTAATTTCCTTTCCTACCTCCCCCACCCCTCAAAGCACTCTGTGGAGACCACAAATCCCCTCATTGTTACTGAGTTAATTGTTGACTGTTAACCATCCTGCACCACCTAAGTAAAAGAAGTACATGTCTATCATTTTACCTTTTATCCAGTCCCAGACGTTTCCCAGTTTGCTTTCTCCCACCTCCCTAATCTAGCACCAACGATTTTCATGTAACCCTCTTTTGACTGTAATGCATAAAACCAGATGCAAAACTGTCACTCTTGAGAGCATTACCCAATCCTTTGAGAGTCTGCTTCCTGGCAGTTATTGACAGCTTGGCTCAAATAAACTCACAAAAATACTCTTGACAAATTTGAATGTTTTTTATGTTAACACCACTTTCATATGTTGTCAAATGAGGACCGTGACATGATGGAGAAATCACTTCCTATTTCTCCCAGCTGGACCCATCTAAACTCAGTTTCTAAGAATTGGCTGCTCCTGAACAGTCCCAAGAAATCTAGCAGAGTTCAGCCAAACAGCCTCGCCTGTCCCAGGAGCACAGCATCCCCACAGGCTGATAAAGAATTAAGAGCAGCCCTGGGCTTAAGGTTTACAAGACAAACATTGCTTAGCCATGTGGAGGCAGGTCAGACCCAAAAGATGGAGGCAGGGGAATCTGGTGTCCAGGTTCCTTTGCCCAACTCCCTTTCTCCCATGTAGGAATGGAAAGGGGAGCAAAAAAAAAAAAGGAAAAAAAAAAAAAGAGGGGGTTGATAGGAAAGCTGGTTAAAAAGCCCTGGTTTGTCGGCCAACCATGCAAAACCTTGTTGTACACAATTTATGCTCAACATCAGCTCAAACTCAAGTGTATTAATTAGACATGAAGTTTAATATTAACCAAGTACATGAAAAGAATTTAACTGCCAAGAGCAAGATAGATGCAGCGAGCTCACCTGCATCAGCTCACCTGCATCAGATTCATCTGGGTCGATTCCGGGGACCCCACCCCAGGTCTCAGATTCTTTGGGGGTGTGGCCTACCACCAAGCATCCTGGAGGTCCTCACGCATGCTTTTAAGAGTCCCTGATGGAGTAAAAGAGCAAAGGTAGTTAAGATTTGCCTAGGGTTCCGCTGAAAGCACTTTGATCAAGTGAAAGACAGGGCACGAAGAAGTAACTTTTCAAGCTGTAACTGGCAGCATCAGTTCTCCAGAACAGAAGCCCGAAGAACATTTGCATCACGAGGCTGGTCTGCGGACCAGCCCTGAAGAGGTTAATCTCTCCAGCAAGAGTCTCAGGCCATAAACGCCAACCGGCCTCCGGAAATGCTCCTTTAAAGCTTTGTAATTCATACCATGCAACAAGATGGAGAGCAACAGTAAAAAGTCAGAAAATCAAAATTAAATGCCTTAAAAACTTTCTGTACATCAGATAAACAAACAAACAAACAAAGAAAAACATTTACTGCAGCATTGAAATCTGTAGACCAAATCTGGGTAATAACCAGGAAGGACTTAAAAATCAATCCGAAACTTCAGAACAATATTTCTTTGCCTCTTCAACTATCATCCCCATAAAAAAGAAACCATGCTTCTAAAAATATATACCCACATGCAACTAAACTAAATGTATCCAAAGACCATTTCCAAATCTTTGTCCCATGAGGATATTTTCTGTTTTGTTAATTTTTGCCTCTTTCCCTTTGCCATTTCTTTTAGCTGAGAAGAAACATCCTGATTTTTGGTGAGGTTGGTATCACTAAATTAAGAAATGATGATTTCATTGGTAATGCCATTGGAAATGGGTTCGGAAGGGAGTTATAAATTTTTGTTTCGTAAGAGAGAATCCCATCTGGGGCACATGGTTTTTTAACACTGCAAGTTACCACCTTCTGAGTTTACATGCGAATTAAACTTTTGCAAGCAGACTCCATGGACTTCTTGCATCATTACTTAGAGTTAATGCTACCACCCACAGCACCTCTGGGGCATCCTGCTAAACAGAACATGCACCGTTCAGATGAGGGGAAGTACAGAAAGCAGATACTTACAGGTAATGCTTTTCCTTTCCAAGCCCCAGAGTTAGAAACCCTGGGCGGAATCAGAGTCACTGACCGGTTAATCTCTGGTTTAAAGAGCTTTGAGAAGAAGGGGGAGGAAAAACAACCCCGGGAAGGAAAGAGAGCTGAAATTCCAGTCTTTCAGGTCAGCTGAGTTTGAGCTTTCTTTGTACTAAATGTCCATTAGCCCTCCCAACAAGAAAAGACAGAACGGAAGGTCACATACACACTTCCCTCTCTCCACGGGTCTTCTCCAGGGCTGCTGCCACGGCGGCTCTGAAAACTTCCCGGCTGCCAAGCCCCAGGACTCCCTCCGCGTGGGGCATGATAGAGGATGCCTGCAACTGTGCGCAGGGAGCCCCAGCCTCCCTGGCGGAGAGCCACAGCTCCTCAGTCCCTTCTGCTGGTTGGGTCCGCAGGGACAAAACCGAGCTTTTGTTAATGAGGCCAGTGGCTTCTCCTCCTTGTCTCTCCCCAGCTTCTTTTCTCACTATTAGTTGTGTGCTCACTGCTCTGCCACTGGCTGAGCTGAAGCTGCCTCTCCCACCCGTAGCTCTCGGCACACAGTTGCATCTCACACCCCCACACACATGCAACATACACAGTCTCTCAAATGCACCACCCACACACAGGTGCACACGTGGGGCACACACATAGGCACCCACGGGTAGCACACCCACACCCAAATACATTGATAGACATGCACTCACATATTCACACTTTCACACCCATGTATGACTTACTCACACATATAACACACACACAGGTACACACACACGCTCCCGCCCACCCACATATATACCCACACAGTTGTTTCCTGACCCTTCAAACTCTTCTATCACACTTTCCTCCCTGAACCTCTTTACTTCAAACAAATTCCCATTCTGAAAGGTTATTTATTGATAATTAGGATAAGATGCCCAGCATTCATTCAGCAGGGAGAAGGAAGGGGAACTGATCTAACTTTTGTCACATCAGTCAAAGGAAAAGCTGGGAGAGTCTAGGGTTCTGTTTTTAAGTCCTTAGTTCTTCAGTTTATAAACCCACAAAAGTTTCATTAATCTCATCTCATTTGCATATAGTTTCTGATCCCACTGATTCAATAGATCACAGGTCAAGAAATGTCAGATCCACACAGGTTCAACTTATCAGGATTCAGTGGGTGAGGGTTTTGTTCCTTAACAACTGCATACTAAAATACTTTCTTGTATTTCATCTCCACCAGGCAAAAAAAAAATAATGGCATACCGTCTGGCCAAACTTTTAGATTGACTATTTAAAGAAAAGTAGGGGTATTATCTTACTTTGAGGAAAATGCTTACATTGAGACATGTCTGGTTATTCTAAACCTTAAAGTACAGGGCACTATAAATCCAATTCAATCTAGACTGTGGCTTCCCTAACAAGATCATCACATCATACCCTTTCCTTAGACAAATAAGGGAAAGAGAGGGGAATGAAAAGAGAGAAAATTATATAAGGAAGAAAAAAGGGAAAAATGAGTAAGAATGCAAAAGAAGATATTTTATTTAAAGACTTGCTGTATAGATACTTTAGCAATGATTGCTACATATCTTACTCAAAGTCATAAATTTTAAGTCTTCAAGAATCTCTTGAGCCCTAGCTTATTTTTCTCATGGATGGAGCCATCAGTCTGCAGACTGAAGGATCCCAGGTTCAAGTCCAGCCAAGGGCACAGGCCTAGGTTGCAGGCTCAATCCCCAGTAGAGGGCATGCAGGAGGCAGTCAATCAATGATTCTCTCTCATCATGAATGTTTCTATCTCTCTCTCTCTCTCCCTTCTTCTCTAAAATCAATTATATATATATATATATATATATATATATATATATATATATATTTAAAAAATCTCTTTAGTCATTCTATTTGCTGTCTGAAACTTCTTGAAGAACCTCCAAGCTCTTTATAAGTAAACAAACACTGCTTATTAAGCACAGTTCTTAGTAAGCAAAATATAGTTACCATGTATAATTCATATACTAATCCTGAAAGGACAAGATATAAAGCCTTGAGACACAAAATGATAGACAATTTTGTTCTCATTGAATTTAAAAATCACCCACCTTGTGAATATCTCAAATGCAAAAAAATAAATGCAGATGATTCTAAATGCTAATAGTTGAAATAAAATCCATTTGATAAAGGAATCTAATAAGTGGTTCCATCATGTGCTTCTTCTAACATCTGGACTAAATAAAGTTTATTAATTAGTCTAGAAACTTCTTTGAGGGTGGGAATGCTTTTAGCATTCTAAACAAAATAAATAAATAAATAAATAAATAAATAAATAAATAAATAAATAACTTAAATTGTAATATATTTTGAAATGTGTGCAGAAAACATAACTTTCATAAAGTTAATTATATGCCCTAGTCAATTGTTCAGTGGATAGAGTGTCAGCCTGCAGACTGAAGGGTTCCAGGTTCTCTTCGGGTCAAGAGCATGTACTTTGGTTGCAGGCTCCTCCCCATCCCAGGGCCTGGTTGGGGAATATGAAGGAGGCAACCAATTAATGTGTTTCTCTCACATCAATGTTGCTCTCTGTCTTTCCCTCTCTCTCTTCCACTCTCTCTAAAATCAATGGAAAAATATCTTCAGGTGAAGAGAAAAAAAAAAAAGCTATCTAACCATAAAACAACATGTTAAATGCATGTTACTAAGTGAAAGAAGCCATTCTGAAAATTCTACATACTTTATGATTCCAATTACCTGACATTTTGAAAAAGGCAAAACTATGGAGACAGTAAAAAGATCGAGGGAGAAAGAGGTATAAATAGATGGAGCGCAGAGAATTTTTAGGGTAATAATACTCTGAATGATACTGTTCTTTTAATCATCACCTGAGGATATATTTATTGATTTTTTAGAGAAAGGAAGGGAGAGGGAGAGAAACATCAATGTGAGAGGAAAAACATCGATCAATTGCTTCCTGGGGAACAATCCTGCAATCTAGGTATGTTTCCTAAACAGGAATTGAACCTGTAACCTTTTGGTGTACAAGACTATGCTCCAACCAACTAAGCCACCCTGCCAAGCCTCTCTGTGTAATATTTTAATGGTGGATAAGTCTTCATAAATTTGTTCAAATCCATAGGATGTAAACACGAAGAGTGAACCTTAATAGACAATAAACTCCAGGTGGTACTTTTAGTACAAGTATGAACCATGGTTGTATATGCTTCTTTGATAATCCAGCAGGAATGCTTGCTCTTCTCTCTCCTGACAAATGTGCTCTCATTCTCACATTCAGCCTTAATCCCCTGAGTTTCTTCTAGCATACTTATCAACCCTACTGTCTTCCGATAGTTTTAGCTTATTTCCTTGGGTTTTAACAGTCAATTATAATGGCATCCAATTCAGTATTTTCCTATCATCTAATTTCCTCTTCTGACAAATGCTATCATTGAAAAAGGATGGGGAATTTCCTGGCTCCTGTTACCCTTAATTGTGGCCTCTCCTGAGCATTTCCACTTAAGTGTTCTGAATGGGGGAGCCCTGGATGCCTGCCTGGGAGGGGTGCTGACTCTACAGTTTCCAGTGTCGGGTGGCCTTTTTAATTATTTGTTCTGAGGAATAGGAATGTAAGTCTTTTAGAATGCGTGGACTTAAATCCAGTGGAAAGATTAATTATGTATCACCAGCAGTGGTTTGGACCTAAAATAAACTGTAGATACTTTATCATCTATAAATATTATAAACTAAAGGCCTGGTGCATGAAAATTCATGCACTGGAGGGATGTCCCTCAGCCTGGCCTGCCCCCTCTCATGGTCCAGGAACCCTCAGGGACGGGCGGTAAATGGGAACTCAGGGGAAGGTGATGTCCCATCACACCTCTGCTGCTGCTACAGCTGGGCAGCCAACTGAGGCTTGCCTGCACCTCAGGCTGGCCCTGGGTGAATGGGAGGCTGAGGGGACTGGGGGACTCCAGATGTAGGCACATGGTGGGGGTGGATCTGGCCTTGCGGCATACCTGCCGCCCCTTTGGGGCTGAGGGGACTGGATGCTGCCATCTTGTGGCTGAGGGCGGGGCAGTCAATTAGCATATTCCCTTCTTATTGGCTGTGGGTGCCACCATCTTTGAGGGCGTGGCAGTTAATTAACATATTCCCTCCTTATTGGTTGTGGGCACAGCCATCTTTGAAGATGAGGCAGTCAGCCTATTCCCTCCTTTGGGGCAATGTGAAGGTCAATAAGCATATTCCCTCTTTATTAGATAGGATGGCACCTAGATCTGTCACAACTATGATTACCAGGGATCAAAAAGACTGAACGGATCTCAGAAACTCCATCCCAGAAAATTTTCAAAGTCAAAATTTATTCTGCAAAGAACTTTTTTTCATGAAACCTCTGACCAGCTACATTTCAGCAAAACAAACTCTCATTGCCATAGGAAATGGAGTGGGAATATATTGCCTGTCTGGTCCATGCTTTTTCACTGATCAGTTGTCTTGTTCAATTTCTGCAAAGGCGCCTTAGGAATATGTGTTGTGTTTTTGTGTTCTTAAACTCTCTAGAACGGACTTTTCTTCACCAACTTTAATATTTATAGAAATATCAAGTGTTCTATAGCTTTGGGTTCTAACAGTAGCCCTTCCTAATATTTTAAATGCATCAATTGCAGCATCTAATAAGCATCTTTTTTTCACTTAGTGCATGAAGAGAAGAAAGAATTGAATGTTCTAACCTACTCCAATATGGGCAACTTCAGTTACATATTAATTACTCTAATTGAATATTGCAAATAATCTTCCTAATATTATAGAGTCTTTTTTCATTTCCAAAGCTATTTCATTGGCATTAACTCATTTAATCATTACAAAACAATACAACTTTTACATTATTCTGTTGGTCTCAGAAGAATCAAAGACTTTTAGCTGTACTTTTATAGCAAGAGGCTGCCTCTCAGTCTTGTATCCACTAAACGTATTCAGAGTGAATTCATGGAATAATAGAGATGAACTGCCTCTGGGTTTTCATTTTATAGAAGAGAAATTCAAAATCCAAAGATAGGTCCAAGTTCCCAGAACTAATGGTGGAATGGGAACATGAGTTTGGGTCCTTGGATTCCAAGTCAGGGATCCACATTGTGCCTTTGCAATATATCCCATGTTTCTAATTCCCCTCTGGTATGACAATCAGGACCAGCCTGCCAACCTCTGCATTTCTATTTGGAGTGATTTCAAGGAGTCTTTAGTGTGCCCAGAGGTCACTACTGTTCCAATGTGGTGGAAAATGGGCTGTGCACTGCCCAGCCCTGGTCTAGCAACATTCCTGGTACTGACTCTCACATTGAAGGCTATCTTCATCAAATGTCACTTGTTCACAGTGGATGAACCTGTAAGAAGGTTGATATTTCGAATTTACCAGATTAATATTTGTAATCCTATATAATAAGAGAGGAATATGTTAATTATCCATTACACCCCGAGGTGTAACAACCAACCACG